CACTTAAAATTTATGTGAAAAAAAGAGTTTTATCCTACTCACTGAAATCCCCCGAAACAAGACTTATCACCAATCTTTTCATACGTAAAAATTATAAAATTAGAAAATTCAGTTGCAGTGATACTATGTATCTAATTGGCTGTGTTCCTCTTTCCACATTGGAATTGAAATCCTTATGTTAGCATTATCAAAGAAAATAATGATTGTATTTCGAATATAGATATATACATAGAATTAATTTTCCTTTCTTTGATATTAATTTTATATAAATATATATTATTTATTTTACCTCTTGTATTCTTGGTTTCATGAAATCTCCTACCATTGCTTCGTAAACGGGATCGGCTAGGAGTACCCATCTGTCAACACATTGATATAAACAAACCGTAAAACAAAACATATAATTTTGAGAATATAATGATAGTTCAAACTCACCTAACACTCTTTGGGATGATTTTGAGCTTATTCCTTATCTGACCATTCATTAAAGTAACAAGATAATTCAATTGAGTATCAAGATCACCGTCACAGGAAGTTGTTGCCAATGAATTCAAATATCTTGAGTATCCTTTCATCCACATTTTTTTTGATAATTCTGATGTTGCTTGCGATGAAGATTGACTGGACTGATCGTACAAAAAATTGTACATATTCTGTAAAAAAAGAAAAATAAAAAAAGGGTTACCAACTAGTGTAGAATTAAATAGAAGAATCAAATTATGTACATTGTGCACGGAAAAATTGCATTTTCTGCCTCGTAACTTCTTGTTATAGGCAAAATAGGAGGCCTTCTTTTCATTTTGGCAAGATAAGACACTGTTGGGCTCAGATGGGCAAATACGGAAGATGTAAATTAAAACACTAATGTAAAATGGTGAATAATAATAATAATAATAATAATAATATCAGCAACTCAAGAATGACAAAGGAAATATCTTGCAATAAAACAGGAATAATTCTTTTCTGATGTGGAAGATCAAATTAATTCTTTTATGATACCAAGAGTGCAATCATTCAACACTAATCGGTGCCTCCTTCCTTATTCTTTTTATTATTATTATTATTATTATTATTATTATTATTATTATTATTTTATAGTGGTGGTAGGCACCGCCACCCACTTTCAATATTTTTTTTTTTTTAATTGGCTGGATCTGACAATTCCCCCCCTCCCGCCAAAGGGTAATATGCAATTCTTTACATACATTCCATGCCGATCAACTCGGCACTAAGCTGTAGCTTTCCTCCTGTTACAACTTTCATCATCATGTCAGCAAGGTTTTCGTCAGTGTGAATCTTTTACAACCTGAATTGTTGTTCTTCCACTGCTTAACGTAGCCAATGATACCTGACATCAATGTGCTTCGTGCGAGAGTGGTACATCGCATTCTTACTTAAATCCAATGCGCTCTGACTATCGCAATGGATATCGTACCTCTCCTGCTTCATTCCCAATTGTTGAAGAAACCTCTTCAACCAAAGCATTTCTTTTCCTGCTTCTATCAGGGCAATATACTCGGCTTCAATAGTCGACAAGGCAACAGATTTCTGCAATTTAGATTGCCAAGATACAGCTCCTCCTGCAAAGGTAAACACAATCCCTGAAATAGATTTTCTGCTATCTAGGTCACCTGCCATATCTGCATCTGTATAACCCTCAAGAACGTGGTTTCCTTTGCTGAAGCTCAAGCATTTATTTGCACTACCTTTTAGATACCTCAAGATCCACTTCACAGCTTCCTAATGATCTTTCCCAAGATTGGAAAGATACCTGCTAACAACTCCAACCGCATGAGCGATATCTGGTCTAGTACAAACCATGGCAACTCTCGACTGTTGAGGAATATGGAATACTCGCCATAGCTTCTTTTTCTTCTTGACTCGTAGGACAACTTCGTTTGCTGAGTTTGAAGTGATTGGCTAACGGTGTATTGACCGGTTTGGCTGTGTTCATGTTGAATCTCTCTAGAATCCGATTCACATACCTTTCTTGCGATAACCATAACTTCTGATTTTCGGTCTCGCATGATCTGCATGCCCAAAATTTTTTTTGCGGTGCCTAGATCCTTCATATCAAAGGACTTTGACAATTCCTTCTTCAGATCACCAATCAAATTCATATCATGTCCCACTATCAACATATCACCTACATATAACAAAAAAGTAATGAATTTATCACCTAGAAAATTCTTAACAAATACACAATGATCTGCATCAGTCTTGGTATATCCATGGCTCCCCATAAACTAGTCAAATGTCTTGTACCACTATTTTGGAGCTTGTTTCAGTTCATATAAGCTCTTCTTCAAACTGCAAACCATGTGCTCCATTCCAGTCTTCTCAAATCCTTTTGGTTGCTCCATGTAGATTTCTTTATCTAGGTCTCCATGAAAAAATGTAGTCTTCACATCTAGTTGTTCAAGCTCCAGATCCAAGCTAGCCACCAATCCGAGTATTACTTGAATAAAGCTCATCTTTACAACCGGTGAGAAGATCTCATCAAAATTTATTCCTCGCTTTTGTCCAAATCCTTTGACAACTAAGCGAGCTTTGTACTTTAACAGTTTGTCACCATCTTTCTTAAGCTTGAACATCCATTTGTTTTTCAAGGCTTTTCTGCCTTCCGGAAGCTTCACAAGCTCATAAGTTTCATTTTTCACCAGTGAATCCATTTCTTCTTGCATAGCTTTCATCCACTGGGATTTATCCTTATGAGTTTATACGTCTTCAAAGCTTTCTGGCTCCCCTTCTTCAGTGATGGTAATATACGTGGAACTAGGGTACCTCATAGATGGTTGGATCGCTCGATTTGATCTCCTGACCTGAGGCGGAGCTTCGAGGTCTTCTTGCTCAACACCTTCACCATTACCATCTTCTATTGATGGTTCATTATCAACCCTAAGTTCTCCATCACACTCTCCCCCTACTATGGCATCTCTAGGAGGTTCTACAGGTGACAGATCCACCTTACCATCTGTTTCTTTAGTTTCTGGTGAAGCAGAATCAGACATAGTTTCTTGCTCATGGAACACTACATCTCTACTTCTGATAACTTTTCGTTTTTCTGGATCCCATAACCTGTAGCCAAATTTCTCATCTCCATAGCCCAGAAATATACAAGGAATGGCTCTATCATCAAGTTTTCGTCTTTGTTCCTTGCTTACGTGAGCAAAAGCTTTGCATCCAAACACCTTTAAATGAGAGTATTTAACATCATGTCCGGACCATACTCTCTTAGGGATATCAAAGCCCAAAGGAACAGATGGAGATCGGTTGATCACGTAGCATGCCGTTAGAACAGCTTCACCCCAGAATGGCTTAGGTAGTTTAGCCATTCTTAACATACACCTCACTTTCTCCATTATGGTTCGATTGATTCTTTCAGCCACGCCATTATGTTGTGGGGTTCCAAGTACAGTCTTCTCATGCCTGATTCCATGATCAGCACAATAATTCTTGAATTCATGGGAAGTATATTCCCCTCTATTATCTAAGCGAAGACACTTCAAAGGTTTACCAACATGTCTTTCCACCATAGCATGAAACCTTTTGAAGTACTGAAAAACTTCGTCCTTCGTTCTCAAGAAATACACCCACAATTTTCGTGAAGCATCATCAATAAACGTCACGAAATATTTGCTACCGTCGAGACTCTTCTCTTCCATAGGTCCACATACATCAGAATACACCATCTCCAACACATTCTCTTTCAGCTTCGAGGATTTGCTGAAAGACACTCTATGATGCTTCCCAAAGAGACAATATTCACAAGGATTTAGTTTTGAATCTTTGGCAAACGGGATGAGGGACTTTCTTGACAAATTTTTCAATCCTTTTTCACAAATATGAGCCAGTATTTTGTGCCACAAATTTGGTGAAGCATCATCCTCGACTGCATTTAGTCCACCCTTGATCAGCTTCACTTGAGTTCTGTATAGCGTCGATCTCACTGTGCCTCTAGCAGCTAACAATGATCCTTTGGTAAGCCTCCATGTGCCGCTACCAAAATTGTTAGTATAGCTTGCTAGATCCAATGCATGCACAGAGATCAAATTCAGACGTAAGTCAGGTACATGTCGCACGTCCTTCAGTGTTATTGTGCACTCAATATCAGTTTGAATGCACACATCACCAACTCCCACAATATTTGCAATGTTGTTGTTGCCCATCTTTACTCTACCAAAGTCTCCTTCTTTGTATAGAGAAAAGAATTCCTTGTGAGAGGTTGCATGGTAAGATGCAGCTGATTCAATGACCCATTCAACACATGAATCTGCAACATGACACTCGTCTTCTTCAACAAAGAGCAACACCACTTCCCCATTGATCACAGGGGTTGCGGTATTTTCATCGTTCTCTGATTTGTTGTTCCTCCGATCTCTGTTCTTCCAGGCTTTGCAGTTTCTTTTGATATGCCCTTCTTCACCGCAGTCATAACACTTACATTTTCTTTTGGGTTGAGATTGTGATTTATCTCTGGATTTGTTATTCCGGCCTCTGCTTTTACTTCTCCCCCTGATTTCTGTGACCAGGGCTTGGGAGCTGCTTGCTCCGGAATCTTTTCTTCTTGTTTCTTCATTAAACATACTGTCTTTGACTTGGGTCAAAATCAATTTTCCTTCAGGAGCAGAGTTGCTCAACGACACCACCAGAGCCTCCCAGCTATCCGATAAAGAACTCAAAAATTAACAGCGCCTGCAGTTCTTCATCAAGTTCATCTTCATGGTAACAAGTTGGTTCACTATGTCTTGAAACTCATTCAAGTGTTCTGCAACTGATCTTCCATCTCGATATTTAAATTTACAAGCTTTCTAATGACGAAAGCTTTATTCTATGCAGTCTCCCTTTGATATATCTGCTCAATTTTGTTCCACAGGGAATAGCCTTTCGACTCTGTGGCAACATGTGGAATATGCTGATATCCACCCACTGCCTGATTAAACTGACAGTCTTCCTGTGTAATTTTCCAGTTGTCATCCTTCACGTCATCTAGCTTGTAGTCTCCCTTTTCTACAGGATCATACAGATCTTTGTAGAAAAGTATATCCTCCATTTTTTGCTTCCAAATGCAGTGATTTGTTGTTGTCAGCTTCACCATGGTACCCACGTTCTCCTCCATTTAATTTACACTGGTTGATACAGAACCCAACTTGGGCTTTGATACCACTTGTTGGGCTCAAATGCGCAAATGCGGAAGGTGTAAATTAAAACACCAATGTGAAATGGTGAATAATAATAATAATAATAATATCAGCAACTCAAAAATGACAAAGGAAATCTCTTGCAATAAAATAGGAATAATTCTTTTCGGATGTGGAAGATCAGATTAAACTGCGACCACAAATCATACTAAGAATATTCCAAATAAATATAATGTGCAAGAAAGAAGACACCAAGATTTAACGTGGAAAAACCTCCAATGTAGAGGAAAAACCACGGGACAACCTCCAAACAATTCCACTATGTTTTCAAGATAATTATAATATCTTTTCACACTCCCCTACACTAGAAATGTAAAATATCGTGACCCAGTGAGACCCCAATCCTATTCAAATATTACAAACAATGAGTAATAGAGTTGATACCCGACCCGATGTATTTTTTTCACACTCACAGGATTTACTCAAACACTCTATTTTTCTCTCACTGAAAAATACCCACACACAAGAATACTAATATTTCTTCTTGTTGTTTTTCTTTCTCTCCGTCGATGTGTTTTCCTTTGCTGAATACCCCCTCTATTTATAGAGAGGAGTGCAATCATTCAACACTAATCGGTGCCTTCCTCGCTCCTTCTTTATTCCTTTTCTTATTATTGTTATTATTATTATTTATTTTATTTTATAGTAGTGGTAGGCACCGCCACCCACTTTCAATATTTTTTCTTTTAATTGGCTGGATCTGACAGACATAATTTCAAAAATCACGCAATTACCACCCAATCAACGGCAGTTAGCCAGATTACACTGGATTTTGCTGATGAAGCACTACCTCTATTATGTAAACAAATGACGTGCCATTTTAATAGTAGAAAAGTTGCATTTTCTGTCGCTTTTTGAGGCATGGCAAAAAAGACAATATCTTTTTGTTTTGGCAGAAGTGGACAACAAATTAAAAAATCAAACAACTTATGGATCAAGTAGAAGACGAAATTGACATATATCATTGGAATTAGAGCTGTAAACGAACCAAACGTTCGCGAACAAGAACAAAAGCTCGTTCGTGTTGGACAAAAGCTCGTTCGTTGGTTAATGGAGTCGAGTTCAACAGAAAATTAAGCTTGTTTAATAGTCGAACGAACACGAGTTCGTTCGCGAGCGTTCGATAATGTTCGCAAACATTAATTTAAAATAATTTTATTTTTTATATATTTTCATAATATTTTTAATAAAAAATCTAAAATATAAAAATATTTTTATTTTATTCTTTTATTTCGAGTTCGAACGAACAAATTTCGAGTTAATCAAACACATTTAGAAAGTTTATGTATTAAATTATTTGAACACGAACGAAGTCGAACTTTGACGAACAATTAAATGAACGATCTCGAACACGATATTTTGTTCGAAAAATAAATGAACGAACACGAACACTATTTGAACGTAAACGAATACAAGCTCGAACAGCTCAAGCTCGGTTTGGTTCGGTTCGGTTCGTTTACAGCACTGAATGAAATTTAACCTAAACTTTTGAATTTTACTAACCTAAACAATTTAGTCTGTGTAGACTAATTATTATCCTTTTTTTAATTTTTTATTGTTTTTATTATCCTTTTTCAATTGTTTAGCACTAAATTGGTGCTAAACAAATTTACCACCTCGATTAATAAATAGGTTAAAATAATTTGGAGTTGATATGTTTGTATTAGTTTTTCTATTCATATCTTTTTTGTTTCTACTCTTGTTTCCCCATCAAAATAACATCTCCGCCGTGGTCATTCAGTGGGCTAAATTAATATCTCTGCCTTATTATGTAGTCGAACCAAATGAGTCAAACTTAGTCATTTCGAGTTCGTATTTGATTATAGTTTAAATAGTGTTCGTGATCGTTCATTTCTTACTCAAGCAAAATATCTTGTTCGAGCTCATTCATTTAAATGTTTGTCAAAATTTTAATTTATTCTTATTTGAATACTTTAGTATACAAGCTTATTGAAATTGTTTGATTAACCCAAAATTGTTCATACTCAATTTTAATTTAAAAATTAATTTTTTTACTAAATATAAATTATATTAATGTTCATACACATTATCAAATTTTCGCGAAATGGGGCCCGTGTTCGTTGATTAACTAACAAGGCTATATTTTATTCTAACTCGGCTCAATTTTGAATACGATTAGATTCAAACGAGCTTTAGTTCATAACCAACTGGTTTGCTTACATGTCTATATAGGTCGCCATTTGTCTACATAAGCGACGTCGTGCTTCGTCAGTATAATCCAGTACAATCTAGCCAACTCACTGGTGATTGGACAATAATTGCGTAATTTTTTTAATTATTGTCTTATTTTGCAAAAATAAAAGAAGGGTGTCTTATTTTTCCAATAATCACAAGTTACTATTGAATTTTGCCCACTACGCAGTGTGTTTGAAAGTCAAAAGTTACACATATTTTTTGATATTTCTCTTTTCATCATGTTGAAAATGTACAAGCTTGAAAAACAGAATATAATTACGTTGATTAAATTTTAATATGTATAAACGCGTTATGTTGTAATTGCTAATTACAGTAAATCTGATTTATTTGTGGTTTTTCATATTTGTAATTATTCATCAGAAAAAAGAAAATAATAAAGTATATTAATATTGGGTACGAAGTGAAAATTACCACGGCATTGCTGTTTTGAATGATGACATCTTGAAGCTTGTCAACAGAAGCGGTTGCCTCCGCAAATTTGCCAGCGGCGAGTTGTTGCTTTATTTGATTCGCTACACTATTTTTTTTTTAACGATTTTTATTATTCAATAGGAAAAACAAGTTAATTTTCATAATAGGGAAAATAATAATAATAATGATAATAATAAACATGTGCAAAAATTATTAATTTGTTTCAGCACTAAGTTTCGGACCTGTTTGACTCATTTAGGCCATTGTTGTCCAGCCTTGAGACATCACTTAACAGAGGGCCCCATGAAAACTGCATTAATTCATCACGTGAAAGTTGAAACCATGTTAATTGATTGTATAATTTCTCATTTAATTACAGAATGGGAATGAATTTTTTCATTTAAAAGCTAGTATTACCACATAATCTTCTGGAGACATCCAAGAGTTCCCCAGTGCAACTCCTGTTTACCCCCAAAATTAATTATATACATAAATATATAAATGAACAATATCATTCAATTAAAGACTTTTAAAGATTTTTTAGAACTTTCAAAATTCTGGTCTATTCAATTGAAATTTTTTTAGACTTCTAAAAAATCTGTATGTATTCAATTGAGACTTTTAAAGACTTTATAAATTTCTAAAAGTCTCAGTGTATTCAATTAAAATTTTCTATGAGTATCAATAAGTCACCCGGTATTCAAAGTAAGAAGACTTTATAATAAGACTTTTTAAATTGTAAGACTTTTGGACACTTTTTTAATAAAATCACAAAGACAAAATACTATAGAAATCTCACCAAATTGGTGAAATTTTGCTATCGAATTTTCAAAATGCCCACCAAAATCATTAAAAATTTCACAAAATCCACCAAAATACTTACTTTAAATGTCTTAAATAGTTTTCACAAGAGTGTTAAAAAACATTTAGACCTTGCTTTCAATAAAGAGAAATTTATATTTTGAGTTTCAAATAATCATTAAAAAATTATATCATTATTTGTATTTAAAATGACACTCTTCATTCGTAACTTACTTCTGATATTGCAATTTTTTTTTGTATAATTCAATGAATCTTATATTTATATTTATTTAAATAATAAATAATTTTACCATTTTTCTAATTTGTACTGATATTGTTTTTTATTATAAGGGAAAATATATATTTATTTAATATAAAATATAGATGTCAAATCAAAACTCGTTCAAAGATGACTAATTTGAAATATCTACATGGAAATTATAAAAACTACGTAAGTAATAACTTTTAATATATTATTAGAATTTAAAATTAGTCAAACATTTTATAATTTTAAAAGTCATAAGAGATATGGATACAAGTCGGATCTATATGGATTACTCTGAACAAAACGAATATTGATGACAGAAACTGGGGAAAAATGGGTGCTAGCCCACTACCATGAAAGACACCATGAAAGAAGGAAAAAGCCCATATGAAGCTCAAATGGGGTTCCATCCCAAAACCAATTGGTGGAAGAAGGAGTAGCCCATTAGTCTTATAAGGTGGGTCTATTTTCCATATATGAACGATGTGGGACAACTCACAAGTGATATTCTAACAATTGACATGCATGATTATGAAACGCCAAAAATCAAAGCACATAATTATAAAATGCTAGAATTTGACACATAAGTTTATCTCAATAATATGATTCGTGTTCGAGTTATACAAAGGGTAAGTGAAGAACTATTATTGATCATACTTGAAAAGAACAAAAAGAACAAATTTAGAAAACTCTTCATTTATATATAGGGGAACCACCATTAGTCCTCTTTTTCTTTAAAAAAAAAATAGAAAACTCTTCATTATATTGGGTAAAAGTTAACATAGATTTAGAAAAATATGCATTAACATAGGGAGAGATTATTTGATAAATTACCTCCTAACTTTAGCTTTAATCTTCTGTTCTTTATTGCTTTTAGAGCTGATAAAGCAAGAGTAACGGCAACTTTTCCTCCATAAGACTCTCCCACTATATAAAGAGGGTTGTTTTGTAAACTCTTTTGACTGTTGAAAACTTCAATCAAAAGTGTAGTTAAGTCAGCAGCATTCTCATCATCATTTTTCACAAGTAATTTTGCATCCTCCGCGTAACTAAATCCTGTCCCAACTGGGTTATCCTATAAAACCAAAATCCACATAATTGAATAATAGCAACATGATTATATATGTATATATAATTCTTTGGTTAATGGATTGGGCCATTATTTACCACAAACAATAGATCTGCTTTTTTCAGCCACGTTGAGTTTCTAGGCTTCAAACATACGTCCAATGGCCCAATTTCTAAGAAATTGCCAATCCCAACCCCAGATCCGCCCTATTTTGTGTGATAATAAATAAAAACACAAACAGAAAAAGAAAAAGAAAGAGAACAAATGAAAATTCGTATATATACACAAATAGTAAATAAGAAATACTGACGGGTCCACCCTCGAGCCAAAGGATTATGGGCCATGGCTTTCTCGAATTTTGAGTCCTATAAGGACTTTTGTACAACCACCAAAACATATGGGCTTCTGTTGTAAAAAACAAAAAGAATGTAATATAAATATAAGGTATTGTATTCATGACATAGAGATATATTGTTTGAAATTACATGTAATTGGCTAAGCCCAAAAAAAAAAAATGAAAAGATTTTTGCAAATTATGAGACATACTGGGCCGAACTGCAACGTAACCCCACATTTCCGATCCATCTCCATTTCCTGTAACATTGACCAATAATTCTCCTTCAAACATTGGGAACAAAAGCATAAAAACAATAAAACAAAAACTAATATGTGACTTTTCCATTTTTTTNCAGTTAGAGAACTTAAACTTGGAGTGATTTACTATATAAAACAAATGGTGCAGAAGTGAAAATGAGAAACCGTAAATTTTATAAGCCAAAAAGTGGCAGCTGCATATCAATAGGTGATTCCAACTTTGACTTTGTAGGTGATGTTAATAATTGTTTATTAGAATTAGCACTCATTCCCTAATTAATTATTATTATGAACCTCCGCTAATTATGAAGAATACATATGAAATCATTTCAATTAGATCTTAAGCGTGTCTTGATTATTCTCGATAGAGGAAAGTCGATTTGTAGCGGTAGAGAATACGGAATAAATTAAAGAGCCTAAAAATATAAATCTGATGTAGAACGTGATACCAAGGGAAGAACACGGAATAAATCATTTCGTCTGAAGGATAGCACGTTTCAAGCTCCACCACAGGCAGGGACAGGGCCAAGGCATATTCGGGCCGGGATTCGGCATTGGCTCTGGTTTTGGGCTCAGATCGGGCCGAAACGTGAGTAGAAGAAGAAGATGAGAATCTGGAGAATTTTCTGTGTCGAATTTTGCTCTGCGCCTTCATCGCTGAATTCCCGACGGCTGTGGCGACGGTTTCGTAGGGTGAATGTGGTGGTGGATTTTTGGAGATGTGAAAAGAGGTGCAGATTTGTTTTCACGAGTGGGACAGTGGATGGGTATGTAATTTACTTTGGGGCTGTTAATGGTGAACTAGTGTGTAGCCCGTGCGATGCACAGGTAAATAATATTAAATAATAATTATAAATTAACAATGATAGTAAATAATATTAACTAATAATTATAAATTAAATATGAAGGTAAACAATATTAACTAAAAATTGTAATTAATTTGTGGAGTTAATATGTGACATAATTTATCGTATATCAGTTGTAAACAATATAAAATTATCTTGTATAAAATAACATAAAAAATGTATGTTTAAAATATTAAAAACACTTAAAATATTATATAACGTATGTGAAGTATCTAAAATTTTATATATCATTATTGAAAGATGTGAAGTCACTCAAAATATTTCTAAACTATTTTATAAATAAAACATGTAGTCCATGTATCTCCTGTTAGTCAAGCCGAGTTATGTTCGCAGACAATTTTGTTCGATTTACAATTCTAGTCACCCCCCCCCCCAAATATTTTTCTAGATACTTCCCTGATTCTAAAATTTTTATTACCTTTTGAAGTGAGATTTTATAAATATAGAGACTGAGATTTTAATGTTCTTCATTATTTCTACGAAAAAAATAAAAATGTACACTTAATAGATCTTAGCTGAAATTTTTAAATAATAAAATGAATTAAAGCCCAAAATTTAATGCAACATTTAATGTTGTATGATTTTTTTAAGATAAAAATAAAAAAATAATAAAACTTACTATTTATAGGTTGCATTAAATTCTCTCCTATTTTTTTGCTACTATTTTTGTTAAATGTTAATTCTTATTATATATATATAGATGGGTAGTGATATAGGTAATTAATTTTTAAAATTATCTATTAGATAATTAATTTTAAACCAACTGAGTGGATATACAAAAAAAAAATGGTTAATTATCTAATTAGTGTATATACGAAAAAAATATTGTGTATGTAATTTTAAAATCTATTAATATATAATACGGAGAAGAAATAATGTTCGAAAAACTTTGAAAAAAAGATTTCAGTTTTTCCGCTTCTTAATCTTTTCTGCCGCTTCTTTAATTCGTAAAAGCCTTTTGATTTTCTATTTTTGCCGCTTCTTTAATTCGTAAAAGCCTTTTATTTTTTGATGATGTGATCATATTTGATTGGATCCCATTGAATCCGCCCATTGAATCCGCCCATGCAACAATATGAATTATTATTTGTTAATTGTCTAACTATTCTAAATCCTAATCGTAAAAGCCTTTTGATTTTTTGATAATGTGATCAAATTTGATTGGATCCCATTGAATCCGCCCATGCAACAATATGAATTATTATTTGTTGATTGTCTGATTATCCTAAATCGTAATGGGTTGATTGATATCAGATGTAGTAAAATAAAATCACATCCATAAATTGCGGTTGAATACAGTCTTCTAAATAGAGTCCTCATTTACAAAAATTGCGGTTGAATCTTTCACATTATTACTTTCCAAAATAGAGTCCTCATATTCCATACCTGCAATAAAGAATCAATTACCTACTTAAATCGATGTGATTATTCGAACAATACAAATATATATAGGATATAAATCAATTCATAGCTTTAATGATATGTACAGACACAATTTTTTCTTAAATTTGGAATAAAATCAGTTCGAAATTAAACCAACGATTTTAAAAAATTATATTGATTAATATATTGAAACACAATAAATCAATTAATATTTCCAGACTTATTTAATATGTCAATTGAACTAATTATAAACTAATTGTTAAACAAGTTGTTACGTGATTGTACCCTGATTAAACTAAAATCAATCAGATATTACTAATCGAAATATGAATGAAATCGTATCTTCGGGAAATAGACTTTCGGGAGAAAATGAAGTCGGATTTTCAGGATTTGGTTTGTGTCTAATTGTACGTAAATATTTGTATCGTATATCAATTATTAAGGAAATCAAATTTTTGGGAATCCTATGTATTCGGGAAGATTAGTTTTAACACAATAATCCTTTAATTATGTACACGAACGATTTCGTATCTTACGCAACTTGCGAAAATAATTAAGATTGCACACACCACAAACTCAATCACTATATATACACCCATTGTGAGCAATTTATTTTACACGTCTAAAACATAAAACACACAACCAATAATATTTTTCTTTTACCTTTCGATTGGGGAGTTCAGATCATTTAATTTGTTAAAATTAAATTAACAAGTTCAGATCAAAAGTGTAATTTGCGGATGCACTAACCTGCGTTCATAATTCGGAAATTGGCGTCCACTTCAAAGATCCGTCAATCAAATTGGGGGATTCAGCAGGATATTCCATTGACTCAATCATTTCCTTTCATAATGCACACAAAGAATCAAATTTGTTTTTTGAAATTAAAAAAAAAAAAAGAATCACATGCAAATAAATATATTTTGAATATTATGCTCTAATATTTTGATTTAAAAAAATCACATGCAAATAAATATATTTTTTTTTTTAAAAAAAAGGAGTCGCGATAATAATACAAATAAAAAACGGTACTAACCTTTGTTGATTCTTCAGAAATCGACATTGCCATTGTAGATCCATGCACCAAATTGTACGATTCAGTTGGATATTCAAAATTCGACTCCTACCTTTGGGTAAAATACACTACATAACATTTTATTTTATTTTTCGGATGAAAAAATCTCATGCGACTAAAGCATTGTTGAAATATGTTTGGAGATTTTCTTTTGCAGGCGAAAATCTATAAAATCGATGTTTTTTTAGTTATTTTTGTCGGAAAATGCTATAGATTTTTTAGGGTTTGTCGACGGATGAAGAGAACAAGAGGGTGTTTCGGCGGATGAAGACTCTGTTGATTTTTCCATTTATATGCTATTTATGTGTATTTTTGACCCTTGGATTAAATGGAACCCATATAGCCGTCCGATCATTCTTCAATTAATAGATTTTGGGCCCAAAAATGTTATATATTTTAGTCCATTATACCTATTAATATTTTTGCATTGGGCTATGTATATATTTGGGCCTGATTGAAAAAATTATAAATTCATTTGGTGCTAGATTTATAAACATTACACGGAGAGTATTATGACTACAGAAAAAGAGTGGGAGGATTGAGAAGCAACGTTGTAATTGGGACGCCGGGTTGTGAACCTTTGGTGGGCCCTTTTCAATACACACAACAACTGCAGGAAACAATTTGTGCTTAATATATTTAATATTTTCATAAAATAATATATATGTATACGTGATTTTATTTTTTGTTGTTATGAGATAGGATAAATTATAAAAGTTGAGTAGTATGTATATATGGCATAATATTTATTTTAGAATTGTTTAAATATTTTTCAATCAATTGCATCATTAAATAATAATAATGCACATTAAATTTTACTAATATATATATATATATATATATATAAATATATATATATAAAAGAATACTACTTTTATAAGTTTTATAAATAATAATAATATTATATGACATTTGTAATAAAATAATATTTGAATATTATGATGAAAAAAATAAGTAAAATTATTATTTGTTTGTATTAAAAATAAATATATGTGCTAAATATTTTTTGTATTAAAATAAAGGAGTTAACGGGCTATTATATTAGTAAAATATAGTTTTAAAAAAATATTTTAAAGTACAAATCTCTCCGTGCATCGCACGGGATGCTTACTAGTTTTAAAAAATACATCCAATGTATATTTAGTTCATTCATAGTGCATATCTAGTTCATTACTATGTATTAATATATGCATTTCATATTAACTAAATATGCATTTCATATTAGTTACTGTGTACTAACTTAATATGCATTTAATTTTAACTAAAAATGCATCGTGAATGAACTAAATATGCATTATCAATGAACTAAATATGCATCATGTATATATTTAATTTAAATATAAGAAATATGCACTTTTTTTTTTCGGAACGATAGAGAGATGATATTATAAACTCGGAGAACAATGTTCGAATACAGACGTGACCAACAGCCGAAAAATAAAACCTGGGAGGACTCGTTATAAAGCGGCCTAGAAAGATCCCACATACGGTATATGCGAAAACAAAAACTAAATACTAGGATTGTCAACTCTACCAGTTCATAAGCCTAGTCTAGTTGACATATCCAATTACATAAAAGACACAACTACAAAAACAGAGAAAAGGAACTACCAAATGAACTAAATATGCATTCCCTATTACATAAATATGCATCATGAATAAACTAATATGCACATTTATATATTTAATTTAAATATAACAAATATGCATTATGGATGAACTAAATATGCATCATAAATGAACTAAATATGCACGTGTATATAATTAATTTAAAAATAATAAATATGCACTATGAATGAACTAAAGATGCATTTCGCATTAAGTAAATATACATCATCATTTGAGCTAAATATGAATCATGAATAAACTAAATATGCACATTTATATATTTATTTAAAATATAACAAATATGCATTATAGATGAACTAAATGTGCATTTTGTATTAAGTAAATATGCATCATTAATGAACTAAATATTCATTGTGAATGAATTAAATATGCATATTTATATATTTAGTTAAAATATAACACATCTATTAATATATAATACAGAGAAGAAAAATTATTTGAAAAAATATTTCATCTTGCCGCTTAAAACCTGTTTTTCCCCCTAATATTGTGTTTGAAATTTTTTCGGATTCCGCTTAAATCTGTTTTTCGGAACAATTTCTTTGTAACGTTTCCGCTATTTTTTTGGTAAATATTTGATTTACACGGTTTGCTTAAAAGCGATCTTAATTTAATACTCAGTTTTTATTTTTGGTTTTGCTTTACGATAAATTCTGATATATGATCCCTTTTTAATGTCATCATTGTTTTTATGGTAAAGAT